CGGGATGAGGCTTTGGGCACCCTGGGCTGGTGGGAGGTGTCCCTGCCCATGGCAGGGGGTGGTACTGGATATCTCTGATGTCCTTTCCAACCCAAACCATTCCATGATTCTATGATCATCACTTTGATCACTCTCCTCCCTGGACCTGCCTGCGTTGCCCTGGGTGTGACAGGCAGCCCGGCTGGCTTCGGGTGCCCCAGAATCTCCCCAAGCACTGCACGGGTGCTTTGACCCAGTCAGTTAATGACAATTTATTTGATTTTGGCTGTTGGTCGTCCCCACCCTGCTCAAGCAGGACTCATGGTTTCAGGGCTCCGAACAGCCCCCACGCAGAGAGCAGGGAAGCCGAGGGTCCAGGCTTGCCCGCCCCGCGGCTGGGTGAGGTTTGGGGGGACGGGGGGGGGCTTATGTGGCAGGTGCTGGGGCTCAGGACTGCAGCAGCACACTCCTGACCAACAAACCCACGCTGGAAGCTGGGGCAAATGGCTTCCCACCAACTGCCTCCTCTCTAAACACAGAAAAGCATCTGGGAGAGGATAGGACAACTTTTATCCAGGATGAGAGGGGCTGGAGAGGCAGTGTGTCTGTGACAGAGACTTTGGCTACATGGTCCCAGGACAGAGGGACAGGCAGTGCCCGTGGCCTGGCAACAGGCTGGCAAGTGTCCAGCTGCTCGTACGTGCCCAGGCACAGGGCTGGCAGGCAGCACCAGGCTGGGGGGCTGTGTTTGCCCCCAGCCTCACACGGTGCCAGTGCAGGTACTGCGGCAAACCTCTGCTCCCCAGCACAGCCAGTTCTGGCACCGGCATCCTCCAGACCGGCTCGGATCGCTCTGTGCTGTAGCCATGTTCTTGCCCAGTTTGTAAGCTGTCTCCAGCTCTTCTGCTAGGGAACAAGGGCTTGGCTTTCTCCCCTGCATGGCTGCAGAGCTCTGCCTTCAAGGCACACAGCTGGCAGGAGCGGTCAGGGCTGAGCTCTGCTCCCCAGAGAGCAGTTCTGGCACCGGCATCCTCCAGACCGGCTCGGATCGCTCTGTGCTGTAGCCATGTTCTTGCCCAGTTTGTAAGCTGTCTCCAGCTCTTCTGCTAGGGAACAAGGGCTTGGCTTTCTCCCCTGCATGGCTGCAGAGCTCTGCCTTCAAGGCACACAGCTGGCAGGAGCGGTCAGGGCTGAGCTCTGCTCCCCAGAGAGCTGCACTGCCTGGCGGTGGGCAGGATGGGGCCACCCAGCCCCGCTGCACGGACGCCCCTGCCTCCCCCAACCCCGGCACAATGCATCAAGGCGAGGCAGTGGCAGTTTTATTTCAAAGTAGAACAAAGGCGTCTTTTATTCGTTCTGGAGATGCAACATTCAGTTTTGCCAGGAGCGTGTCTGTGCTCAGCCAGGCTGTTTGCGCACATTCAGTCAGGGCACATCTATACAGGGAGAACCAAAAGTGGGAGATTGTTCTATAACCTGACTGAGTCTCACCTCTGTTAAAGAAACCCTGTTACCCAGCCAAAGAGCAAGATATCGTGGTCCCTTGCACAGCACATGTTGCTGAGCAGACAGGCTCTATAGAAAAATATAAAAACAAATATACTTTCAGACATTTCACAAACTTTGCCCCTAATTTTGCTGGGAAGGAGTTTTGGCTCAAAGTGTATCCACTCCCAGTGTATCTTCTTCTCATTTCCCTTCATACCTCCCCCCTCCACCTGGTCACAGTGCATCAAGGATGTTGTCAATTTTGGTGACCAGGTCCTGGCGCTTGTTGGAATGCATCTTCTCATTCTCGATGTACGTGTCCTTCTTGAGCTTGCCAGCCACCAGCCGCTCAGCTTCAACTGAGGACTTCAGAACGAGCTCTCTGACTTGGCCATCGAGCTTCTGAATTTCACTTACCTGACAGGGGTGAGAAACAAAGAGAATATTAGAGGAGACATAAAAACATCCCTACGGTGAAGCTGGAATAGAAGATGATGGTAAAGCTGGAGCTAAAGATGAAGTCAGTGCTAAGTAGGACAGTCCCTGAATATTGCTTCCTGAGCCATCACTTCCCTCTGGCATCACATTATGATCCATCTCACGAATGGATAATTCAGCAGAGCAGACACAGTGGCTCTGAGGACCCAGGAGCCGTACTGGCAGGACATAGGGGTGATGACTGTTCAAGTGTTTAATGACAGATTTTAAAGGCTTCAAGCTCAACCACAGCTATGACAGACAGAAGCTGTGTCCCTACAGTTGACGTTAATGGTGTGTAAGAAGCAGGTCTGCAGTGACAGAGCTCCTCTGGGTTACTAACAGATGCAGCAAGGTGGCTGCTGGCTGAACGGACCTTGGAGACTCAAGTGTCCCTCACCTGCAGTGAAGTGGCTGTTCCAGGTATGTGTTGAAATACAGTGGAGGCAGGAAAAGATGGGGGTGTGTGCTCCCTGTGCCATGGCTGTCAACCTGGTACAGCGAAACACCCCAGAGGAGCATCCCGTTACCAGCATTCCATCAGCACCAAACTCACATGTGCAAGAAAGTAAGAGATAAGGGAGATTTTGGGTTGACTGGTGTCAGTAATAATGTCAGAAGTGATAACATATTGATAGTTCCAATTTTTGCCTGTGTTGCTGCCCATGAGCTCAGTGAGAAGCACCAGGATTGTACTGGAAAGGCATTCATCTGTACTTGTGCAGCTAGTCCAGGGGCTGTTTAAGGAACAGCACAAGCAGCTGTTTACCAGCAGCATTCACAGGGCTGCATAACCAAGATTACTGCAAAAAGGACAAACTGATCTTCAGACCCCCTGGCAGGGATCAAGCCTTCTTCAGAGGAGAAAAAAAAATACAGGCTGCAGGAACTAAATCCCAAATTAAAACTCACCTAGAATACTTGATAGAGCCAAGAATAGGAGAGCTTAAAAAAATACACTAGAATTTCTTACTTTATCACATAAGTCAGAGCCTTCTGTCTTCAGTTTGGACTGCAGAGAGGCTATTTCATTTGTCAGGGCCTTGTGCTCCGTCTCCAAAGACTTTTTGCCACTGTTCAGGGTGGAGATGTCCCGTGACTGCTTGTATTTATTCACGGCTTCATCAAAGTGCCGGTACAGCCCGAGTCTCTTGTTCACCAGAGTGAGCACTTGCTCTGTGATGCAGGCAACCTTCATCCTGGCTTCAGCAGCTGGATCCTGCAAGGGGACAGAAAGGAAGATCAAAGCAGTTTTATCTCTGATCTGCACCAAGCCATGCCTGCAACAGGACTTACAGAAACTGCTCCCTTTGCAATTAAGTCAACTGACAGTAATTAGGTGAACGGCCCAAGTACTGACTAGGGCAAACACCTTCCAGCATGCCACCTAGCCCAACAAACAGCTTAACAAAAAGTAAGTCAAAGTGCTGCAGGAGGAGAACTGCAGATGTCCCTGCTTCTCAGGGGTGGATTCCTTTTCATCCAGAAGGCAAAACTCAGGTTAGCCTTGGCACATCAGCTCAAACCCTGCAGGAGTATCAGCTCTCAGGCAGCATAAAACCAGGGCTCCGTTTAAGCAGCTAGTAAGATATCCAAACCACCAGGGAAATTCAGTGAGAATTATTGGTAAGAAAAACCTCCAACCATCAGCTGAGTAAGCCACTAACACTCCCACAGGCTCTTCATCATACAGCACCTTAGTGATGGAGAAATCCAGCCTCACATAGACGATCACAGTGAAGAACAAGATGTAAAAGGCTCCAACCACCAACAGAGGCTCCTGCAGCATCAAGATTTTGTTGAAGGTGTAATGAACCTAGGAGAGAAGTTCGAAACACTGAGCAATGACCCATGTCACCATGGGAGAGAACTCTTCCCTCAGCAGCAGAACTGGCCATGCAGTCCAGCAGGTATTTATTCCGGAACCCAACATGGGTGTTTTGACCATGCTGCTGAATCACTCACCACGATGTCTTGGATGTGCTGCTCCACCAGGTTGCTCTTGTGTGCCACAATAACTGGACGTCCAAAAGTGTCCAGATAAGTGTAGTGAAGCTCATCTGAAGCACGATTGATTTCATAGGGGCTGTCCACATGGATACTCCTGTGGATAAAGCCAGAGAGTCTCTGCACTGTTTGAGATGATGTAACCTAGGATTTGGCTGGCCAGCTGTGGCCTTCAGCACAAGGCCAATTATGCAGTTTAAATGACTCTAAAAGCAAGCAGAGCTGTGTTCCAAGGTCTCTTCCACATGCACAGTCATGGCTTTGTTTCCCTGTCCTCAGGCCATTAGAGCAGGCTGGAGAACTGCCACCAACACAGCATCATCTGCGGTAACAAGCCAGGAGTAATGACACTTACTTGGCACCTTCTGGCAGGACGATCTTGACAGTCAGAGAGTCCGTAACTTGCTCATCAAACACGTGGTCGACAAACCTCATTTTCAGGGCATACTGATCACCTGAGAGAGTGCAGACCAGAGAGCGGTTACAATTCCTCAAAGAACAAAGGGCAACCTTGAAGCTCAGCTGCTAACCGAAGCAGGAGCAGGATTCGGATGGATGTGTTGTGCAGCAGGGGGCACCAGCTCACCCAAGCAGATCTTAACCAGATGTCTACAAAATCCTGAAGGCAGCACAGAAAAGAAGGTGGATTTGCATATTCTAGAAATAATAGCTAGCAATTGCTGCTGCTAAGGTGCAGTGTAACGCAGCTTTGGGTTCTTTACTGTACAGCAACCACCTTTAAACACGGAGGAGAAGGTTTGTTATTCCCTTCCCCTCTGCTACCCACCAAGATTGTAGAGGTATTCGTAGCTTGGCAGGTTATAGCCGATGATGTAATGGGTTTTCCATCCCCCAAAAAGCGGGAAGCGGGGACGGATCTCCATCTCCACAGAATCATCCAGGACAAGGAGGTGGCTGGTGGAGATGTTTCCAATTTCATCTCGGTAATAGACGTCCTGAGCGGCAGCTGGGAGAATGGTCTGTATGGAGAGAAGCAACAGTCAGTGCATCGGCTAGAAGTCATTTCAGTGAAATTGGCAAAAACAATAGCGGCCGTTAACAGCGAGAAACTGCGCTCCCATGTGAGAGATGACAAAATGGCAACTCAGTTGCACCAAGTGGTAAAATTGTGCTATTATAAGCAATCAGCCACAGAAGTGACTGCCAGCACTAAAATCACTTGGCCTCTAAATTAATGTGCTTTCTCCAGCCCAGCTTCCAATATCGCAGACAGCAAGGGATCTCATCATGCCCACCAGCACAGCAATTCCCTTTTCACTCCAGCCCGCTGCCCTAGCTCACTGAGCTCGCTGGCTTTACGCTCAGCAAAATGAGATTTCTGTTTGGCTGCATCACCTCGGAGAATTACAACAATCAATCTTAGAGGCTTCAAGCAGTGAGAGAGGTTCTGGTTCAGATGAAAACACATAATACTTTTCACATCTGGCCAGCAGAGCCACAGCTTTAGCTTGTTGCTGAGTGCTTTGTGAGCAAGGAATGAATGGGTGAGTTTCCAATTAATGCTGTTCAACATGATGAGGGTATGACAGAGAAGGCAACCCTGAAAATAAGAGGGTGGGGACAGAACGAATGGCCCTTGCACAGTGGAAAACAGAAGGCAGAGCTGTCAGCATAGGGATTATGGGTTTTAGAGGGTCCCTGAGATTGGAGGGGTGGGAGTGTAGAGAAACACTACATGCCCTGGTATATGCAGTGTCTTTGGCCAAGAGATGCAATAAAGCATATCAGCTTCTAATTCTGCCTCCAAAAGCCATTCCTATTTATCATGAGCCTTCTCTGCAAATAGGTCAGAGCTCTAATATTCCCTTATTACTTGGGTATGGCTACCAAAGAAAAGGAAAAGGACAACTGTATTTTTTTTCCCTCTGGGGATGTAAGAAAGGGGAAAACAAACTTTAAAAAAAAAAAAAAAAGGTGCAGGGTGGGGGGGCGACAAAATATCAACCTTGAAAGACTTGACAGAAGAGATCCCGCTGTCTGGCTGTCTCTGGTAGTCGTATCTGGAGAAAGGCCCTTTCAGCACTGCTCCTGTATGCTTTAAATCAACCGTCTCCTCAACAGCAATATTCCCCCAGTGAGACACCTCGATGACTCGGGTCATACTGGTGATGGTGAGGAAGGGGCTGTTGTTTTCATAGTGCACCTTCAGAGTGTCCTAACAAGGAGAAAAGATGATCTATTAGACCCAAAGTAAGGAACAACCCTCCCTCACAATTATGTCCCAGCACCCCACAGGAAACTGCCCTGGTGGACTCTGCAGGGAGGTGAAGCCGTCTGCACGGGAAGGTCTGAGCCGCCACAGCCCAGTGCACACAGGGGGCTGGACACGCAGTCTCCTCTGCTGCAAATACCCACCCCCCTGACAGAACCACGCACAAACTGGCCTGGTTTGCACCGTGGACACCGAGCAGCACTCAGCAATAGTGTCTCTACCAGGAGCACCTCGTTGGAGTACCTGCTCCCAGCCTGCACACAAGCTCATTCTGCGATGCTTACACCAAAGCCTCTGCTTCCCGCTGGCCAGCCTCTAAGACACAAGGGCCGTGTTTGCCAGATGCTCTCTGCAGAGCCACCACCTCTTTGCACAAACATTTACCTGGCTGTACGGAGGGATGTCTTTGAAGGGGCCGTACTCAATCACATCTTCTGTGCGGGAAGGGTTGCCCAGCTTGGTGTAACTCTCCACGTTCCTCGAGGCCAGTTTGACCCGGGTCGTCTGGGTCTTGGTGAAGTAGGGTGAGTAGAAATAGTGATTTCCTTCAAACACCACAAACTGCTTCTCGCTTTGGGTGATGTGGGTGGGGTAAGGCTGCAGGACGTGCGTGAAAACCATTTCAAGAGACACACGGCTCTTGGCTCCTGGTGCCAGAGGAGACGGCAGCTTCACAGAGAAGAATTTTCCACTGGAAGGGAGAACAGTTAAGTCCTGAGCTTCCTGAGAGAACAATTGGATCCAACCCCTGCAACATCCCCTGTGGATGGGGGCCCATAGATCACATCAACGGTGTATGTTTGGGGCCAATATTTTATTTGTTCCTCCAAGGCACGCAGATGTCTTGTCCCAGACTCTGGACTGGGAAAGCAGGACAGGAAGCAGCACAGGGTGAACTAGGTCCAGGCACAACAGACACACGGGTCCCACATTGGAGGGAGAACAGTGACATGCTCCCCTCCCTAGTTCTGCATTTATAAAGCGTGCTTCAGCATGGTTTTTTTCATTCTTTTCCAGACAACAAGGATGATTTGAACCAGAGAAAGTGTGTGCAAATGACCAGAAGACAAACCACTGACATTTCATGCACCTGTTCCCACAAAGTCTGTTCATTCTCAGTGTTTTGCCCGCAGGATCTGAAACTACAGAAGGGCCAGGAAAGGAGCATGAGCTACTACAGAAAGAAATGGGACTTCACCAAACTTCCAAGGATGCACCAGATGGACCAAGGTGTTGACAGAAGAGAATGGACTTCAAATCATGCCTGGTGGCCCAAGAGCAGGATCACCTGAGGCCTCCAGCTGTGTAGGAACCCTGGTCTGCCTTGGCAGTTTAACTCCACAACTACTGCACTTTGAAACCCAGCAGCACGGTACTTCTGGTTTACAAGCACTCAGCTCTCAGGGCACAGAAAGCACCCACCTGCCCGTACTTGCAGTGTACATGCAAGTACACCCAAGTCTGGCAGTGCAGAGCCTCGTGCAAAAGGCTGCATCCTCTCCCTGCAGCAGGCACCAGTCCACGCCAGGCTGCAGCATCCAGTGAGCTGCGGTACTGCCCACGTGGCAGACGGAGAGCAGTGCTTTGGGGTCACAGCCAAAGACCACTTACAATCCCTCTGTAATCACCACTGTCAATCATTTGAGACTTCAAAAGGGAGCAATGGGTAAGAGCAACACCACAGCTCCAATGCTGCTTACCTGATGTCCCTTAATAAAGGACAGGACATTACTTAAGGCACTGAGTACCAGAGACTAAGCACAGCTGAGCCCCCTTGAAGGCCGCTGAGCTGCATTTAAGAGAGAGATTCTCTCCCTTACAGGGCTCTCCCCTTACTAGTAGCCTTGAGTGGCTGTGAGAAGCATGTATGTGCTGGGCTCAGTGCAGAGATCTAAAACCACACATGCTGTCTCCCAAGGAAAGGGCACCCGAGGGAGGGGAATAACTTCTCCTGGGGCCTCCTGGGCTGCAGGAATTGGGTTTGGCTGCTTGTGTCAGCTGTGCTCCCTGCCTCTGCAGCACCCCAGGACACAGCCTGAGTATACAGTGGATGTTTTCAGGAACAAAAGACTCTCGGATCTCCAGGTATGTGGGAGTGGGGCAGTATTTCTGCTTCATTGTGAGGGTGATGGTGGAAACCCCATGCACAGCTCCAGGTACTGACCTTAGAGGGTGTCACTCACCTTTTGCCCTTAACTTTAGTCTCTCTCACTTCCAAGGTGTTCTCCTCCTCTTCCTCACCCTTCACCTGTTTGGAGACAACAGACTGATCAGTGTGCTGCTCTTTAAAAGACTTGACACATCCAAGGCAAACTCCATACAGTTGCTATACATGTTTTAGGGGGATATCTCTCTAGAAAGTACAAGTTGAGAGAGAGCTACTTTATTTTTTTAAAAAAATAGCCCCTTTATAAGGGGTTGTACACATGAGAATCTCACTCAGCCACTTTTGTCATTCTTGCTGCATGTTCTCCACAGCAGCAGGGGAACACAGAGGCCA